CTGGATGGCGAATCAGAGAGTCACAATGTGATAGCAAAATGTTTACTATCTATTTCCATCGGAAATAAGACAGTTAAACATTTATTCCTAGTGATAGACGAACCTCGCTATCAGGTTTACGTTGGCAATGATGTCATACATCGCTTTGCCATACACCTTGACCTGATTAATTCCAACTTGTGGACAAGGTTAAAAGGTAATCCTTGTGGATACCTACACGAGGAAAACGCCCTGAAATCAGGACAAATACTCCCATATGCGGTAAGTATCCAAGTTCCTGATGACATAACCATTCCACAGGGGACAAGTAATTTTCTTTTACCCCTACAGGTCAAGGAGGGTCAGAGATTGGAAAACTCTGATGCCCTAATCTGTTTATCCAACAGGATACAACAATTAGGGATGGTGGTAACACATACACCAATGGTAAGTATTGGTAAGAATCCCACCTATATCATGGTCAACAATGTTACACCCAATAGTGTTACTTTACCAAAAGGAACATTATTAGGTCTAGCATTGGATGCTGAGTACTATACATTTGGTTTCCAAAACCAAATTATAGGCCTCATCCCTGAAGAATACTTAACTGAGGACGAAATTGTCGATCAAATATTCCATTCCTCCCCAGAAGGATTATTCACTATCCTATCTGTATATCCCTTCAACGTCGAAGAAGGCTCGTGTAAAATCGAAGAAGCATCTATTACCTTCGATCATCCGCTCAATGAGCAGGAATCACAAGAGTATCACGACCAAAGAGAAAAGGTAAGTCAACACCGAACTGACCTAACTTCTAGGCTTGAAGAAGCTTATGAGATAGGCCAGCCTGAAATCTTTCCAGGATTTCAGGAAAGGCTAGAAGAGCAAATATCTTTAGCTGACGGTTGCTCCAATGATGCTGAGCGACAACAGCTAAAGGAAATCCTTTTGGAATTCCAAGATATTTTTGCCAAAGATTCCTACGACTGTGGGTTAACTAACCTCCACGTAGCCAGAATACAAACTGATCCAAATTTACCACCTGTATTTATCAAACAATATAGACTCCCATTAGCGTCATATGATGGTCTACAAGACATCATTCAGAATTTAAAGGAAAGGGGCATTATACGTCCAGTGCACAGTTCGTATAATAATCCGATCTTGGGGATTCTGAAACCTAATGGACAATGGCGTTTATGCGCTGACTTACGACAGCTAAATAAACGCGTCTATATGTCTGGTTGGCCAACGCCATACATAGACCAATGTTTGGTACAAATGCAGGGATCCAAAATATTCACTGCCATTGACTGTGCGCAGGGATATTGGACTGTACCAGTCCATAATGAAGACCAATACAAATTGGCCTTCACATTTGGGAAGCAGCAGTATACCTGGACCCGTATGCCTTATGGGATCTTATCACCACGATGCCCAGATGTAGGTGCATCATGTGCGTGTTGGAGCATTAACCCTCTGTATACAGTTGGGACTACCCATTGTTGTATACCATGTTTAGAAGTTCTGACCAGTAACCCATCCATGATACTAAATTGGACTTTATATCTCATCAAGATTCGTAAATCTTCATTATCTTTGCAATCCTCATCTGTGATGGGATTGGCAGTAGGGTCTTCTATATGTCTATAGAATATGCCTATGACGGGATCGTTCTTTTGACTAGTAATCAGGTCCTCACTAGGAGCTTCTTGACTCCATTGCACGACGTTTAAGTCGGCATTATATAAACTCTGGTCACGAATTCGCTGTGTTTATGCATAAAGCTATGCCTGACGCACTCGAGAGAGGAACGTTATCATATGTCGACGATGTCTTGCTGAAAAGTACCTCCTTTGATAAGCATATCTTAGAGATTAGACATGTTCTCACTCAGTTAAGAGAGGCAGGAATAAAACTGTCTTTACAAAAGGCACAATGGTGTCGCACCCATGTCAATTTCCTTGGACATGAGGTAACTTCTGAAGGATTAAATCCCCAGAGGAAGAAGGTTGAAGCCGTACTAAAGGCTAAAACACCTTCAAACATCAGGGAATTAAGATCGTTCCTTGGTATGACTAACTACTCCCGTAAGTTTATAGACAACTATGCAGAAATAACTAAACCACTCTTACACCTGCTTAAAAAGGAAACTACCTGGAACTGGGGGGAGCCTCAGGACCAAGCGGTAAGTGAACTGAGGAGGAAGCTCACTCAGGCACCCTGTTTAGCATACCCAGAGGGGGGTAAACCCTTCTATCTGGAGACAGGTTATACCGATTTAAGCATAAGTGCTGTTTTGTATCAGAAGCAGGACAGTTTAAACAAAGTTATTGCATATGCTAGCAAGACTTTGTCACCTGTTGAAGTTAAATTCAACACATGTGAGAAGGCGTTATTGTCGACTGTATGGGCACTACAAAATTTTCGTAGCTATATCCAAGGTGAGAAAATAATTGTAGAAACAGCTCACCAACCTCTACAGTATCTGCAGAGTGAAAGAATTAGAGACGGTAATCTCTCTAACAGTCGGATTACTGCATGGACTCTATCCTTACAGGGATGGCCGTTAGAAGTCCGTTATAAACATAATAAGAGAAGCCCAGTTGCCCAAGGTTTAGCAGAATTACATGACTGTACTGCTCCATCTCTGGATGATAATGACACCGGAGATGACTTCCTAGAAGAGCAACTGCTATCCCCTTATAAAGTTTATGACGAGGAATACTGTCGACCACTACCGTGGGTATACATTGATGGTTGTTCATATCACCACGTTGCTGGTGCTGAACGGAAGTTAGTTGCAGGTATCGGAATCGCCTGGATAGGTGATTATCCTAATGTATCTATAGGATACAATATTGGTCCCAAAAGCAGTCAGATAGCCGAACTCTGTGCAGTATATAAGACCATTCAAATGGCAATAGAATATGGTATCAAAGAATTTGTTATTATAACTGATTCTAACTATGTTCGCAACAGTTTCGTCGAATATCTGCCTAGCTGGAAACGTAACCAAATGCTGAAAAGCAATAACAAACCTGTTAAACATGGGAAATTGTTTTGTAAAATCGATGAACTGGTTAAGGAAAATGGTTTAACCATATATTGGAAGAAAACCAAAGGCCATTCTAAAATAGAAGGTATTGACAAGGATGGTAATGACTTAGCCGATTCACTGGCAAAACAAGCTGCCATCAATGGTGAAACCCTAAACATTGATGATCTTATGGGTTCAATTCATGTTGAAGCCATAACTAGACGACAGGCTAGAGATAATGCCGACTTAAATGTCGTGCAATGGAGTCAAGAAGCTCCTAGTGAGGACCTGATTACTAGTCAAAAGAACGATCCCGTCATAGGCATATTCTATAGACATATAGAAGACCCTACTGCCAATCCCATCACAGATGAGGATTGCAAAGATAATGAAGATTTACGAATCTTGATGAGATATAAAGTCCAATTTAGTATCATGGATGGGTTACTGGTCAGAACTTCTAAACATGGTATACAACAATGGGTAGTCCCAACTGTATACAGAGGGTTAATGCTCCAACACGCACATGATGCACCTACATCTGGGCATCGTGGTGATAAGATCACATATGAGATATTGCGTGATTATGCATATTGGCCACACATGTTAAGGGATGTTAAGACATACTGTCAGGGATGCTTGATTTGTCCGCAATATCAACCCCATGGTCCAACCCATCGTGCACCACTTCAGAAGAGGGGGGTGTCATTACCTTGGTCTGATATTCAAATTGACTTTATAGGTCCTGTAACAAGATCTTCAAGAGGTAACAAATACATGTTAACCGTTACATGTATGTACACAAAGTGGATAGAATGTTTGCCTTGTAAAGAGAACACGAGTACCGTGTGCGCCACTTTGTTGATTAACCATGTCTTTTCCAGGTTCGGTCTGCCTCAAAGAATTGAGTCAGACAGAGGTAGTCATTTTACCAGCGAAGTAATGGCTAAGATGTGGAACATTCTAGGTGTTAAACGAAAGCTACATATTGCATACCGCGCTGCGTCTAGCGGGGGGGTAGAGCGATATAACCAGTCTATCGTTAATATTCTGAAGAAGTATGTTAAGGAGTCTGGTAAAGACTGGGACATTAAATTGCCCCTAGTTTTAATGGCGATTAGAGCTACACCTAGCACTGCTACCAAATTGTCACCTTTTGAATTGATGACAGGAAGAAAGATGGTTTTACCACAGCATTTACTATATCGTACTTCAGATCATAACTTGATCAATGCTGCCACTACGCATCAGTATATCGAAGATTTGCGCAAGCATTTACAGCATGCGTTTGCTTTTGCCCAAAAGAATCTAGAAAAAGCAGCGACAGGGGTTAAGACCTATTACGATCTAAAAACCACGAAAAAGGAATATGAGATAACAGATCAAGTCTATCTGTATAACTTTGCGCGAAATCAAGTAAAGGAAAAGAAATTTTTACCTTCTTGGAAAGGGCCATATGTCATCATTGACAAAATTTCCCCAGTAGCGTACAAGTTAAAAATTCCTAAGGATGGTGATTTTATTGAAAAGTGGGTTCACATTAACCAGTTGCGTGCTTGTCATCCTAAATCTCAATTAAGGATTATAGGTGTGGATTCGGACGCAGAAGGGTGAACGACTAACCTGGATGAATGCTTGATTCACGTGGTATAGTATGATGTGAAGTGTTGTGATGTGCCATGATCTCATGTACGTTCATGTCATTAACCATTTCCTTGCCATCCAATAACTACATTTTATAAGCAGGTTACTAGCTTGTTTAAATGCTCTAGGCAAATTGCTGAAGAGTCAGTAATAAATGTAGTGAGGGATGAAGTTATAAAAATAGAATTAGAGAGAATACATATGTTGATGAATCGTAATAATGTGTTGTCCTAGGCCAAGTGATGTCACACTGTTATAAGTTTGTATGCTTAACAAACCTTGAATCATTAGTAGATAAGTCTGAAACGAGTTCCTGATCCGTGACTGTCGAAAGATGTCCAAGAAGGATGTGGCGTGTTTCTGGATCGTACTGCTCCTGTGCCAAGAGCTACGGACCGACCCGATCGCAGAGATGGGACCATCCTCCGGCATCCTGATTCAAGAAACACCAGGGTTCATCTTGACAGAGAAGAGGATCCTGACCCGACGTGTGTTCGTCAGCTTGGACCCCAAGATTTCCATCGAGAAGGCATACAACATTTCATCGATGCAGCTTCCTGAGTTACAGACTTGGTACCAGATGCACCTCCAAAGAGCACAGGACCGTGTGCGAAACATCTTGGAGCAAGCCCAGAAACCATTTGTATCCAGTTCTATTCCGATGAGCAACCGACCCAAAAGGTTCCTCACCGCTATAATTGTTGCATTAGTTTGTGCCACTGTCGGTGCAGTTGTCGCAACTGGAATGTCTGCAGCCAACTCTATTACTGTCCAAAAGCTGGATATGGAAATCTATGCGCTAAAGCAACACATTAACGATATTCATCAGGTGATAAACCAGCAAAGAACACTTCTCCAAGACGTGTTAACTATTGTGGAAGACACAGTTGTTACAACAAATTTGCATTCGGAGTTAATTGCCAAATCCACTGAGTTGCACCAAAGTCATGACTTATTTAAGCGTGAACTTCTATTTCTGCATGACCCAATATTGTTCCACACACTTGCTTTTCTTGACGAAGTGCAAACTGGAATGATCGAATTGGCAGGGGGACGCATACCTCTGTATTTTGTATCCAAGGATATTGTTCATGCGATGCTTGCCAATGTGGATGGAAAGACAATTGAGCCTATGCAATTAAATCTGGCCTTTGAGATGGGGAGCGCTATACCTCTCTTAATTGATCCGGAACGTATGGAGATTTGCTTTTTATTGACCATACCATATGTAACTCCCAAAGACATTTTTCAAATGAAAACAATGTACTATGTAATAATGATATTATGGTTGATTGTACTAAGTGTAAAGTTCAAAACTTTTACAGGTACAAATATATACAAAAATGTTCATTCCACGCACGGGCCTATGTTAGAAATGATGTGATTGCACAATATGTCTGATAACTTCTATAGTGCTTATTCATAAGCTAAATTAATTTTGGCTATGAAATGCACTAAAGGGGGGTTATGTCAGAGTATTTATATCGGCAGACATTTTGTGCTATGATAGAAACTAAAAGTGTATATTCTGAGTCACTCTGAACAGACCAGACTCCATTTTGTTATTCCAAGTCAAAAAAACAAAGAGACACAGGATTTCTTTCTGTAAGACTGGCCTCTTTGCCAGAGCTAAGGAATGCATAGTATAAACAAGTGATAAGGAAGGGGGTTGGACAGACTGTCTAATGCTAATGGAATATAATCAAATCTAAACCCAGACAATTGTGACAGAGAAGATTAAATAATTTAATATTTAACTGTCTATATATATAAGGTACCATTGTATGGAAAAGGGTAAACTTAGTTCATGATCTGTCATATCAGAAATTATGGCAGGAATTGCAGACGCTAAGTCTGGACAAAACTTTAAGAAACCCTTTGAAATCTGAATTATGGCCACTATCTAGATAGGCCAAAATGACGTCAAAATAGCCACCAGGAAAAGTTAACTCTTTCCTGGATAGGTATGTTTAGTGGGACAAGACTGCCCTCTACAGACCAAATAACTAATTTGCGATCTGGAAGATAACCACACCTCTAGTGCTTCTATTGGGTTATCAACTGATGACGTACAGAGAGTCTGGCCCTTTAAAAGTTAAGACAAAGGGAAGAGAGGGAAATACGAGAGAGGGAGGCAAGATATGCAAGAGATGCAAAGGAGAGGAGAGAGGAATTGGAAGTTTGGGGATTCCAACTCGGACAACATCTGAGACTAACACTCTACTCCTAAAACTCTAACACTTAGAATTTACTGACTTTCTAACCAACACCTCCATGCAGAGAGACTACCAATCGGATGAAATATCTACTCAACTGGTAATTATACTGGTTTCATTTAATTAAATTAAATTAATTAAAATGTATTAATAGCATTATATATGACTGGATAAAGCACGGTCAGATTTCCATATTAAGAAATCTTAGTTAACTAAGAATATATAGTTATAAATATTCCATTCTGCAGGTGGAATTAAGAATAATTATATATTGATGTGATATTATCACGTGTTAGCATACCGCTGTTTTTATCCAGGTGTATTGATTTGCTCTAAATTAAGATAGATATCTTTTAGACAAATTAAAATCTGCTTATATAATATATTAGACTCTCTTATTGGATGGTTTAAGAAAATGAATTTAAACTGGTTTAAATGTTATTTTATTTAAAAATTACATAAGAATAGATCTTAAATACCTAGGAGATCTAGCCAGCATTGGAAGGGTTATTCTAACTGTCTGCTAAACTTTACGACCTTACGCTGCACTCTGAGGAATTCTGTTCTTCGCTGTGAAAAGTTTCACTTAAGTCTGTGTTAAGGATACCTCATAAATCCTCAGAATTCTTGACAGGAAATGCTATTTAGCCATTGTAACGTAATACCCATTTCTTTGTATTGCATATCATTTTATACTGAATATTCATTGATTATTGTCATGCATGTTACATAATATTATTATTAATTTGTCATCATAAATAAAAATCTATTTTTATAACAAATCGTGAATATTATTTATATGAAATACTTTCCACTTAATACGATAAACGTTCTTTGGGATCTGAGAATTGAATTAGTGGGCAATTCTCAACTGTTTACTATTATTATCCCATAAATATCCCCACACTCTTAAGTGTAGACTTTTTTTCTGGTCTTACCCATTCCTCTTCGATGATATATTTGACGACAGGATGAACAGGAAATGTAGGCTTCACTGATCTTCAAAGTATTTATTAGATCCCATAGTTGAGCCCACATATTTTAACACAGCTTCTATGTAACAATCCAAAGGATCTCCAGATCTCGGTACATCATGGACAAAAGCTACAGGTATCTCCTCTGCAGTGTTTGAGGCATCACTTTGCACCGCTTGTTGCATATCATAGTCCACCAGTGCTTGTAATAGTTCCTCTTTTGTTTTTCCCCAGACAGGGAATAGATCTCTCCCGGAAAAACTGGTATAGCGCTGCCTTGGATTGCGCCTGTTACTCCATTTGGTAAATAAAAGATAGCAAAGAAAAAAACAGAGAAGGGGGCACTGTTGAGGTGTAAATATATTATATATGCACTGAGGTCAGCCTTTGGAAATTGAGACACAATTTCTTTTAGTGCCTGGATTAACCAACAAATCCAGCAACACTAAAATCTGGTATAAAAAGATGAAAAATCTTTTAGTTATCCTACCGCTATGCCACCAATTTGTCAGGAACGCACCCTACTCCAAGAGTGTGCGTGACGTAGTTGTGGTGGTGAAAGGGTTAAAGTTCACTATTTGTCTGCACTAGACCGGAAATAATGACAAAATCCCCCTTTTAACACCAACCACATATAACTATTACTATTTTAACGCTGCCCCCACCAAGACAGTTTATAAATGGAGTGCCTTGTTCCCCAGGTAAATCAATAATAAAACCCACCATATGTTACTTAGCACAATATTAAATGAATTGCAAAAATACAAACTAGTCTCTTCAGGGAACGTGATTCTTAACCAGACAAAGGCAGAGCTTAATAAATGAATATTTATTATGAGCAAAAAATAGTCACAGTGCATATAAAAATATATGATAAACAAATTATTTACATCAAAAACAGATAAAAATAAAAAGGATAAAATCCAGAAGTCCTAGTTACTTACTTTTTCAAAGTACAACTTCTGTCCAGGGGGTCTCTGGCAAGGAAAGATGGTGACTCACTTAGAATTAGATTCCGACCCCCAAGCAAGTACACGAACACCCCTCCAAATAATTGGATATATACCACCCTGTGGATTATCAAGTCTTGCCCAGGGGTGGAGTTAAGGCATACCTACAGAAATAATAAGTGACCACCTCCTTTGTTCCAGACCACCGTCAATCCAAATGGAAACATTTTGCTCTATCTTTTTTTATGGACCTGCCACAGAAATAATAATTGCATCTACACATTTGTTATTATTTTCCCATTCCATAGACATGTCGCACGTCCCACCCATGATCCAATAGGACGGACATTGGGCTTGTCCCAGTCCAAATATAATAAAAATTAGGATTAATCATTAAGCTGTGGGTAAGTATTAATGTTTCTCTTGGATATTGTGACGAAAGTAACCTCACCACTGGTTTTTGGAGGGGACTACTTGCCAGCCTTTTAATATGGCCGCCCAATAGAACTGGCTAATATACTTCAAACAGGCTCTGTTCGTGCAACTTGGAACGTTTCTCACAGCAGTGTTCTAATTGATCGTCTGGGTGGCCGCAATTCCTATGAACAACCACGAGGTGGCGGCCATCTTATTCGCATGAACACCTGGTGTTTGGGCATGAATCTCATGGAATTGAAATCAGATACAGAAACTCCCGAACACCACTGGACTTCCATCATCGCCTGCGTTCGTTTCTATTCAGCTTAGAAGGGCATTATTCAGTGAGATCATTAGTCTGGATGAAGGGAACAAGCTCCAGGGTAAGACTATTGACTCTGTTCCGTAGTTTGTTCGTTTTCAAACTACCGAACTAGACTGGCCGCAAGCCCTGATTCTATGGAACTGTTTTAGGCATGGGACCATGCCTGAAGGTGGACAAAACTAAGACTTCCGTAAAATCTCTGAACCCCTGACCTGATCTGGGTGATTTTGGCATATGCTGTTAACCCAGATCAGGGTTATCAGGGGATATGTTGTGTTTTGGGATTTTGTAAAATATGTGTTTTTTTTCTACTTTGAAATAATTGGGTTAATACAGTATCTGATCGAATTAACTCACTGGCAGAGGGGAGGGATTATATGTTTGTTGTGGGAGTGTCATACATTTAATTGCTGTTCTGATCGGTTTGCAACAATTGTCATCCTGTCCCCCACAAGGTCCACATGGGTGTTCCCTTCCATGGGGTCTTGCATAAAAGGCCAGCTGTGACTCCCCGTTAAATGAGATGCTTTACCCCTTCATGTTTGGGGGATTGAAAAACTACACTCTGGGGATTGCTATAATCAATATACTACCCTGAGTATAATCACTAGCTCTTCTAAGAGCTGTTCCTGCTACGCTCTCTGGAGTAGGAGAGGTCTACCCACTGGGAGCTGGATCCTGGTCTTGGGTCCAGGGTGGGTGGAGGACGGTGAGACCCCAACCAAGCTGCGGTGGCTCGTGGGGACTACAGCGCTTATATTGTCTGGTGGAGTGCTTGGAGCCCTTGGAAAGCACTAGGAGCATCGATTGGCGGGGGCACTCGGTCGGAGTGCCAGGCGATCCATCACAGATATGATACTGGAACACAAGGAAGGGTCTTCATGAAACTAATACCATTACCATATCAAAGGATTGAACTATCAATTGAGAGTTTCCGGCCATATGGTCAAAGTCAGTTGGTTTACATTGAAACTAGTCAAACAGGTGAGTTAAGTGTAAAATGTTTTACCTTGCAGGACCTTTGATAGATCAAAAGGGCAATCAGTTTCACACCTTGCAGAAGCCCCTTTTGATCAAAAGAGCAATTTCTCTCTGCCATTTGTTCTCTAGCCATGGGTCCAATTATTGATGCACTCCACAAGTTATATTAAATAGCAATATTCAATAGTGCAATAATAAATTATGCAACCTTGCCGTGACAAATGGTGCTTACATTAAGCAAACAACCCACACGTAAATCTTACTAAGAGTAAAAAGCTAAGATTGTACTTTAAGATCCTGAACATCTGTTTTCAAATTCTAATAATCCATATACTGATAAACTCATATGATTCCTTATAATTTAACAAGTAGTAACATTCTATTTGCTGATTGTCTCAATCAATTGTATATAAAGTAACATATTCCATATGCTAACCCGGTTGATTGAAAGTGTCAGGAACTAACAATCCCATCACTCTAAAGAGTTTGAAATTGCTACTGAGATTGTGATACTGTACTATGCCATATCAAGATTATTGAAAAACTATTCACTAATTATGATGTATATTTACATTTATTAACAAAAATAAATATTATAACTTTTATAAATAGTTGTGATATTAATGTATGTAATATTAAATTCGAACAATGTACTCCAGGTCTAAAGAGTTAAAATAGTGAGTAACTCTTCGCTTTAAATAATAAAGTAACTCTTAACACCAATAAAATATTAACCCCTGATATTTTAATAAAGATGATTAATTTTAATAATTTTAATGCAAATATTTTTAATTAATGGAAATTAATTATTAATAATCCCCATAAATATTATCACATGGTGCATCCTTGCTTTTCTCTATTTCTTTGCAATTTACTAGGTTTGGGAATCCTTGTGTGATTCACTGCTGCCCGCGTATTATCGTATTATAGTGAGTGCTTATAACCTTTTATTTTTGTGACATTGTTTTTTGCAGATCTATACATTTTCTAGTCATTTAGATAGTTCAATGTGTATATTACATTAATAGCAGATTAAACTGGAAATGCCCTGTTAATTACAGCACCGTTTCTATTAGGAAACAATCTCAGCTTCTACAAAAATATCTTTTGCTCCATCATTGCTGACAGATGTTTTGGGTTTGTACAATTTCAGATAACCTTAGCTATACTAGCAATTCCCCACATCATAATCATTAATTGCCTTCAGTTTTCCTTTGAGAGCTGATGATTAGTTTTGTTTTTCTACTTATTGATGCTCATCTGATTTTCTTCTTGTTTCTATGCTTGTGATTTGCATAGTGATGTTCAGACCTCATTTGCATTCAATTACACACCATCTCATGGTAGGGTTCTAAATGTTATAGCTTAATGTGAGATGAATGATGTGTGTCTGATGTGTTAATAAAAATCTCTTTTTATATGTATTAATACAACTTTCATTTTCTCGTTTTCCTTTTAAACTAGAGATATGATATAGAAGGACATTTTTAAAAATCGGACAAAATGCAACTGCATTTCCTTCAGTGTTATTGTGTGAAAAATAAGATGTATTCTTTAAATGACTTAAGTTGCAAAGGGTATTTTTTACACAGTACATGCAACAGAAAAGTAGGACATACATATCATGTACAATGATCTGAAAAGGAATGTATTAATTGCTCAACTTCCAAAGCTATACAATACACTTTATGTCTACTTCATGAGAGCTATACAGAACAAGAGGCAACATTGTGCTGAACTTCTATAAGAGGATTCTTTTAAATGATAATTTATTTTAAAGAGTACTGATTTTGTTTTGATCACATTTTTACCACATAAACAGGTGAGAGTAACGCTTGCGGGTCCCCTTGTTGGGTGTCCTAACATGAGAAAGAGTGCTTTCCGTGTTCTATGGTATTACTTGCTGAGAGCATGAGGATATAAGTTGAACATTATACTAAGTACTTTCCACCACACAGGCCCCAGCATATAAAGCCAATGAGCTACATGTCATGAAGTCCCAGACATACACCACAAATTATTCCCTAGAGAATATTACAAACTGCACGCTTATGCACAGTGTGCTTGGTCACACTGGAGTCCACAAAGCCTAAAGAGACCATGGTTTATTCACCACTACCAGTGCTAAATGTTTAATCACTGATGGCTACTGCCTAGTAGACATTTTGAGTCATGCATAAATAGAATAGTATACTTAGAAGCCTCCAAGTTTCATTACTATAAATGCATACATAGAAACCTTACTCGTTTTGAGGATATTTATCTCACAAGCATAATCTCAGAGAAATGTAATATCCTCTCCAAATCTCTACTCTGCTCTCTACTCCAATTCTTCACACCCACATGCAAAGTCACCCTGCTCTTTCTGGGCATTATGAACTGTTGTTCTTCAACCACCTTTACTGAACACTCAATTGAAGAAAGCCATGGCCCTCAATAACAGATAGTCGCTATTTAGAAAATCACAAGACATAGCCCATATGATTCTTACACAATGTTATAGTTTTCCTCATTTTTCTGGGCTATTATGCTGCTCTTTAATGTTTGTGATATTGATTCCCTAGTGGTGATT